ATGTACATATGTTCCAACTTATATTACAAGACAGCAAGAAACAACGTCATTACACAGTTTAAAATTATTATCTTGCTATAAATTGCCTATGTCGTGATTTAAATTCAAATAAATAGGCACATAAAATTGACAACTGAACAACATGGACAAATTTAGGGGCAGGTCAAACTGTCCACCTCAGTGGGCTTACAACTTCACTCCTGGCAGGATAGTTACACACCCTCCTCAGTTTGGTAAGATAATTAAACTACCCCACAGACACTACCACCACCACACACACTCAGGTTAGAAAGAATTTTGTAAGTGTCAGAGTAGTTAATAAATGGAATGCACTAGGAAGTAATTTGGTGGAGGCGGACTCCATACACAGTTTCAAATGTAGATATGATAGAGCCCAATAGGCTCGGGAATCTATATACCAGTTGATTGACGGTTGAGAGGCGGGACCAGAGACAAAGCTCAACCCCAGGAACAGGATGGAACAGGATGTTTTCAAGCAATTTGATCATTATTTAGAATTCACTTAATATATAAACTAGATGCAAATGGTTGATAAAACAAATGACGATTTTCAATAAAATATGGTTTTGAGCTATATTTTACGTCTATGTAATGAATTATTAAGATTAAAGGTAAAAATTCTTCAAAAGTTAAAAAATTGAGACAATTTAATTATATTTTTGAACTATATTTGGTATACTGTAACTGAATGTAAGTTCACACTTATATACGAGTTAAGATAAGAAATAGTTGATCACTTGTAAATCTCTCAATTGATGTTAAATTACTGAGGAAGTTTAGCTGTTGTACCGCAACATTTAAACATCTTATATATTCCGTTGCATTGCACAGTGAACTATACAACAAAACTTTTGGATCAATGTCATGTCCAGTTATTTTTTAATCTTTTTACAGACTTGAATCTTCCTTTTCAGTAGGAATGATAAGAGGAAAACATTTAACCAAATTCTACCATAACAAAAAAAAATGCTTATAGGCCATTACAGTTGACCTGAAAATTGTAACTTGAAGACCAGGTAGCTAGTTTCTCATCCTGTCATTATTTTTTGGTGTTAAAGCTGTAAACAATATTCTTCTCAGTGTTGAGGAGTGTTGTTGAATGAGGTGATAATTGAACGTTCATGAAGAGATCTTGACAGTTTCCTCGGATACATTGTGCACATGATTTATGTAAGCAAAAACTTCTTCTTCACTTTCAACTCTGTTTAGTTTTAACATTTTCCCATGCAACAAGTGTACGAGTGAGTGCACCAGGTGTATGTGTGAGTGTACCAGGTGTGTGTGTGAGTGTACCAGGTGTGTGTGTGAGTGTACCAGGTGTGTGTGTGAGTGTACCAGGTGTGTGTGTGAGTGTACCAGGTGTGTGTGTGAGTGTACCAGGTGTGTGTGTGAGTGTACCAGGTGTGTGTGTGAGTGTACCAGGTGTGTGAATGAGTGCACCAGGTGTATGAGTGAGTGCACTCATAGTGCACTCACATAGTGCACATAGGGTGAGTGCACCCTCCAAGGAGTTCCGGATCAGCCGGGCTGTTGTGGCTATGTGGCCCTGCGGGCTGCTCCAAGCAACAGCCTAGTGGACTAAACTCTCACAAGTCAAGCCTGGCCTCGGGCCGGGCTTGAGGAGTAGAAGAACTCCCAGAACCCCCATCAACCAGGTATCAACCAGGTACTACCACCACCTCACACTACCATTTTCACTACACACACTCCCACCACACACTACCACCATCACCACACACTACTACCACCACCACACACTACCACCACCACTACACACTACCACCACAACAACACACTACCACCACAACCACACTACCTCCACCACCACCACACAATACCACCAAAACCACACACTACCACCAAAACCACACACTACCACCACAACCACACTACCTCCACCACCACCACACACTACCACCACCATCACACATTACCACCACCACCACACACTACCACCACCATCACACACTACCGCCACCACCACGCACTGCCACCACAAACACACTACCTCTACCAGCAATACACATTTCCACCAACACACACTACCACCACCACACACTACCACCATCACCACCACACATTCCCACCTCCACCACACACTCCTACCACCCCCCCCCACCCTTCACTTGACCGCCCCTCACCCCAGTATCCTCTGAGACGCTGTTATCCACCTCACAAATCCTCACACCCATGGAACAGCTTCTCCCACCAGCAGAACACTCACCAAGGAGGCGATTTGAGAAGGAACAGAAGAAAGTGAGCCTCAGGGCAATGTACACTAACACAGATGGAATTACAAATAAAGCAAATGAGCTTGGAGAATGGGTACTAGAGGAAAATGCAGACATAATAGCACTCACAGAAACAAAGCTAACGAAAACCATAACAAATGCGGTGTTCCCACAGGAATATTATGTTATGAGGAAAGAGAGAGTAGGAAGAGGCGGAGGTGGTGTAGCTCTGCTGGAAAGAACGGGCTAGGACTTTGAGGAGATGGTTATTCAGGGCTGTGAGGGTTTCAGTGACTACATAGCAGGTACAATAACAACTGGAGGACAAAAAATTATAGTCGTAGTCATATATAATCCACCACCAAATAACAGAAGGCCCAGACAGAAATATGATAGAAACAACATGGCCACCATTAACATAATAGAGAGAGCAGCTTCTGTTGCCAGCAAGAATGGATCTGGACTACTAATTATGGGAGACTTCAACCACGGGAAAATAGGCTGGGAGAACAGAGATCCGCATGGAGGACCAGAAACATGGAGAGCTAAGCTGATGGACGTGGCAACAAGACACTTTCTAAGCCAGCACATCATGGCACCAAAAAGAATGAGAGGAGAAGATGAACCAGCAATGTTCGATCTGATATTTACCCTAAATGAGTGGGATATAAGGGAAGTTAAGATGGAAACACCCTTGGGAATGAGTGACCACAGTGTATTAAAATCTGAGTACCTGGTAGAGCTAGGAATTATCTCCCCCAAAAAGAACAAAGAAACAAAAGGCTGGCATACCGAAACGGGAACTATGAGGAGATAGGATGTTTCCTAAGGAAAATACCATGGAACGCAGACCTCAGAGATAGGTCTGTACAAGATATGATGGACTATGTCACTCAAAAGTGTCAGGAGGCAGTAAACAGGTTCATCCCGTCCCAAAGGGAAATATCCGGGAAGCAAAAGAAGAATCCATGGTATAATAGGGCATGTATGGAAGCAAAGGGACTGAACAAAAGGGCGTGGAGGAACTTCCGGAATAACAGAACACCAGAAAGTAGAGAGAGATACCAGAGAACCAGGAATGAGTATGTTAGGGTGAGAAGAGAAGCAGAGAAAAATTATGAAAATGTTATAGCAAACAAAACCAAGACCGAACCAAAGCTACTCCACAGTCACATCAGGAGGAAAACAACAGTGAAAGAACAGGTAATGAAACTTAGAACAGGCGAGGACAGGTATACAGAGAATGACAAAGAGGTGTGTGAAGAACTCAACAAGAGGTTCCAGGAGGTCTTCACAATATAACAAGGTGAGGTCACTGTGCTAGGAGAAAGGGAAGTAAACCAGGCGGCCTTGGAAGGGTTCGAAATTACGAGTGAGGAGGTTAAGAGACACCTGCTGGATCTGGATGTTAGAAAGGCTGTTGGTCCAGACGGGATCTCGCCATGGGTGCTGAAAGAGTGTACAGAGACACTTTGCTTGCCATTCTCCATAGTGTATAGTACGTCACTGCAGACAGGAGACCTGCCAGAAATATGGAAGACGGCGAATGTGGTCCCAATATACAAAAAGGGCGACAGGCAAGAGGCACTGAACTACAGGCCAGTGTCCTTGACTTGTGTACCATGCAAAGGTGATGGAGAAGACCGTGCGAAAAAACCTAGTAACACATCTGGACAGAAGGGACTTCGTGACAAATCGCCAACATGGGTTCAGGGAGGGTAAATCTTGCCTGACAGGCTTAATAGAATTAAGACTACGACCAGGTGACAAAGATTAACCAAGAAAGAGAAGACTGGACGGACTGCATTTTCTTGGATTGTTGGAAAGCCTTTGAAACAGTACCGCATAAGAGGCTGGTACATAAGCTGGAGAGACAGGCAGGTGTAGCTGGTAAGGTGCTCCAGTGGATAAGGGAGTACCTAAGCAATAGGAAGCAGAGAGTTACGGTAAGGGGTGAGACCTCTGATTGGCGTGAGACAATCAGAGACTCCACACCAGTGGAGTCCCACAGGGCTCTGTACTTGTTTGTTCTCTAGGTAACTCAATGTGGGGCTCTTGCAAGAGCAACGTGCACTTGTTGGTCTCCATGAGAACCCTGTAATTATAATTAGCCTTACTGCTGTAATAATGTACGCATTCAGTAGCCATATTGTTGTATTAATGTCTGCCTTACTAAGCCATGCTGCCGCATTAATGTCTGCATTACTTAGCAATAATAGTGAATGAATGTCTTCATTACTTAGAAATGCCTCAATGTCAGTGTCTGCATTAAGTTGCCAAACTTTTGTATTAGCATCTGCTTTACTTAGCAATAACGTATGTATCTGTGCAGACAGTAACACATAATTGCAATTTTGCTGCATCTAAGCATTAGTAGGCATCCATCAGTCTCAGGGTGGCTACGGAGTTGCCCTCTGGTGGTCGGTCTGGAGTAGCCTTTCCATGGCGCCATGCCTTGGTAGGTAGATACGGGGGAGAAGCTGCGACCCATGCAGCAGGTCCCCCCTCTCTCCACGGCGTAGAAAGTCTCCAATGGAAGGGCAAACGCCAGTCCGATTGGTTCCAGCTTAGATATGTCATTTAGGCCTTACTGCATTATTAATGTAGTATTTTCAGCATTAAGAAGCCATATTGCTGTATTAACACCTGTCATAAACAAAAATTTTGCCAAACAAAATACGTTAAGCAGTCAAGTTGCTGTACCAACAGAAGTGATTACATAATTGTTGGTAAAGAATGAGACCTTACCTTGAATGTGGTGCGGGCGGGTGTAGTGTGTGGTAGACGTCACGTTGAGCAGAGCTGCGAGTGTGTGCCGCCTATGGTGGTCACTGGATGAATGAGGCAGCACCGCCTCCTCCTGCATCTTATAATAGTGAGAGTGAACACTAGTTGGCAACACATCTTGCTGCCTCGTGAACTCAAATAAATGTATTCACCTAGTTGTAGTCACCTAGTTGTGCTTGCGGGGTTGAGTTTCGTTTTTTTTGTCCCGCCTCGCAACCTTCAGTCAAATGGTGTACAGGTTCCTAAGCCTATTGGGCTCTATCTTATCTACACTTGATACTGAGTATGGAGTCAGCCTCCACCACATCACGTCCTAATGCGTTCCATTATTAACTACTCTGACACTAACAAAATTCTTTTTGATATCTCTATGGCTCACTTGGGCACTCAATTTCCACCTGTATTCCCTAGTGCGTGTGCCCCTGGTGTTAAATAAATTGTATTTGTCTACCTTATTAATATGAGGTGATCATGTCCTCCATAACTCTTCTGTCTTCCAGTGACCTGAGGTTTAGTTCCTGTAATTCTTCTCACAGCTCATACCCCGCAGTTCGGGCACTAGTCTGGTGGCAAACCTCTGAACCTTTTTCCAATTTAATCTTATGCTTGACGAGATATGGACTCCATGCTGGAGTTGCTTACTCCAGAATTGGTCTGACATACGTAGTATACAAGGTTCTAAATAAATCCTTACACAAGATTCTAATGGCGGTCCTTAAGTTGGCCAACCTGGCAAATGCCGATGATGTTATCCACTTGATATGGGCTTCGGGGGACAGGTCTGACGTGATATCAACCCCCAGGTCTTTCTCGCTCTCTTATTCTAGAAGAATTTCATCTCCTAAATGGAACCTTGTATCTGGCCTCTTGCTCTCTACACCTACCTTCGTTATATTTGATATTCGAAGAGTGCAACTTAACCAAACTAGAAATGCTTATAAATCAAGGGACCCAGAATGTGGAATGACCTTCCCAATTACTTCAAAGGCTCTACCTCTCCCAACCAGTTTAGGAGAAAACTAAGTACTACCTAATAAACTCCCTGTAACCTACCTTACCTCCTAAATGTCAACCCATGTACTATTTTCAAACAGTACTGTTTAATGACCAATTGCTGATTTCCGCCAGGTTTTTTTCCCCTTCTTTCCCTTTTTCAACTCAATTTATGCTTTGATCTAAATTAGTATTATTCACAGCTTTATTCACAGTATTTTTTCCCACAACTTGTCCGAAACGCAGTACATATTAGTGGCTTTTAGCGCAGTATGTATTAGCTCTATCTAGAAATCTAACAATAAGTTCTGTAACTCATCTTGTATGTATGTAATTTTACCTGAATGAACATTTGATTTGATTTGATGTTGTAATTCTTGTTTAAATTATGCTTTATATTTTTTATTATTTGAAGTAACTTTTCAATGTTGCTTTAAAAAAAATGCTAGGTAGATTGTAATCCATTGACTTTTATATAAAAGTGTCCAAATGTGTTTATAGAAACATATTTTTGTATTTATAGAACAGTCTTTAACTAGGCTATGTATATTAGAATGGAATGATCACCCAAACTATTTTCACTTGCATTTTATCCAAAGAATTTTGATATTCTGAATAGAACCTTTTAATGGCTCATGAGATGAGTCAGCAGTAACAGCAAATGGATACCAAACGCTATGCAACTGAAACAAGTTATCAACATTGTAATTTTGCAAGCATGTTACTGCTAAAATATATCACCCCAAAGAGGTTATAAACGTCAATTTGAGCTCTGGCATGCTTGGAAAAAAGTTACATAGCTGAATAACCCAACAGTTCCAGCATAAGGTTTATGTCCTAACTACAACAAATGGGGATAATGATACCCGCTATATTTCAAATTAACAATTTGGTCGTGTGTGAAATACAATTTAACTATAAAATTAAAGTAATTAAATAACTAAGTACTTGGGGATTGGTTAGTAAAGTGAAGATCTTGTATCCAGTGCTGCTGGAGCTCACAGGAGTGCAGCTCTGGCACCTTTGCAAGTGGATTATGGAATGGGGAAAAGGGAGAGAGGATGAGGGGAAAGGGAGATAATAACTTGTGGGTAATGGTTAATTGTGGCAGGAAAATGTTAGTATTACATTACTAATAAGTTAATAATGTTATGATATTTCTTCGTTTTATTAAAGGTTCAATAATATTATTTTTATATATTTAAAAAGTAAACACGATGAATAGTAGTGGTAGGAAGGTAGAAACATAATACCCGACGCACGTGAACGCTTCCTGTTCATTTATGCCAGGCAAACTGTATAAGACAAAGTTGCAAACCTACCGCTTTGGAGACTAATATTCTGCGATAATTTTCATTGCTCAAGAAGTAGTTCATTGGACAGGTATTCTTTAGTCATACAATACTATATTTTAGTAGTATATATTTAGTATATACTTTTCAGGTAAAACGACAAAACTGCTATACACAACTTTACATAATATAAGAGTTTTTTGGGTGGTCTTATTGTCGTGTGAAATAATGAGTTGGCAACTCTGCTTCTGTGTGTCAGTGGCATTAATAAAGTGGTGGCTGGTCGTCCCTTGATTTCTCTCCAATACAGAAGCATTTTTTCTTCCCCCAAAAAATCATATTTTCTAAACAAACAATGTTGGCTTCCTACTTTCGTAAACTAAATAAGGAGTGTATGAAGAATAACGTACAGGAGACTGATAATGATAACAGTGCAAGTGGCAAAAGTTGTGTTTCGACTGTCAAGGTGGGGCCCTTGATTGTTTCAAACGTGGGTTGGACACGTGTATGAGTGGGATTGGGTGGTTATAAATAGGAGCTGCCTCGTATGGGCCACTAGGCTTTCTACAGGTACCTTTATTCTTATGTCCTTATGTTCCTATATTACATATTCTTGGGTTAAGCTTTAACAACCATTTGTTGGCCCATTCCTTCAGTCTGTCCAGGTCTTTTTGAAGCCTCATGTTGTCTTCCTCTGTCTTAATCCTTCTCATAATTTTGGCATCGTCGGCAAATGAAAGGAATGAGTCTGTACTGACTCTGCTGTGAAGCAGTTTTGGTTCGGTTTTGACTTTATTTGCTATATCATTTTCATGCTGCCTCTCAGATTCTCTTCTCACACTGACATACTCATTCCAGGCTCTCTGGTATCTCTCTCTGCTTTCTGTTGTTCTGTTATTTCGGAAGCTCTTCGACACACTTTTGTTCTGTCCTTTTGCTTCCATACTTGCCCTATTAAACCATGAATTCTTCTTTTAATTCTAATTGTTTTCTTTTGGGGACGAGATAAACCTGTTTACCGCCTATTGACACTTTGGAGTGACATTGTCAATCATGTCTTGTAATGTCTTAGTTCTGAGTTCTGTGTCGAATTGTATTTCTCTAAGGAATTTTCATATCTCCTCATAATTTCCCTTTCGGTATGCCAGCCCTTTATTTTTTTTTTATTTTTTAGGGGGGGGGGGATTATGGTTTATGCAAAACTAGGCGCAGCTTTACAGTCATGTGCATGCTTTATCTACAGTAAGCAAATTTTGGATACTTCACTAAGATTTCGAGCACCACATCATTATGAATGATGCACGTACAAATTTCTTGGACAACATTGATAGTGTTATCTCTGAATTCCGCGATTTTTTCACATTCCATTATATAATGAAGCAAAGTATGCAAATAGCTTCACTTAGTCAGACCAACATCAGGAGGTTCGTTTCTACATGCAATTTTGTTTATAAAATTTCACCATAATAAATTTCCAGAACAGTATTTAGCAGCCTTTCATGTCACAATATTATATATTTTGAGGCACGATGACTGCTACACCACGATGACTGCTACAGCACGAGGGCACGATGACTGCTACAACACGAGGGCACGATGACTGAGGGCACGATGACTGCTACAACACGAGGGCACGATGACTGCTACAGCACGAGGGCACGATGACTGCTACAGCAAGAGGGCACGATGACTGCTACAGCACGAGGGCACGATGACTGCTACAGCACGAGGGCACGATGACTGCTACGAGGGCACGATGACTGCTACAACACGGGCACGATGACTGCTACAACACGAGGGCACGATGACTGCTACAGCACGAGGGCACGATGACTGCTACAACACGAGGGCACGATGACTGCTACAGCACGAGGGCACGATGACTGCTACAGCACGAGGGCACGATGACTGCTACAGCACGAGGGCACGATGACTGCTACAGCACGAGGGCACGATGACTGCTACAACACGAGGGCACGATGACTGCTACACCACGAGGGCACGATGACTGCTACAGCACGAGGGCACGATGACTGCTACAACACGAGGGCACGATGACTGCTACAGCACGAGGGCACGATGACTGCTACAACACGAGGGCACGATGACTGCTACAGCACGAGGGCACGATGACTGCTACAACACGAGGGCACGATGACTGCTACAACACGAGGGCACGATGACTGCTACAGCACGAGGGCACGATGACTGCTACAGCACGAGGGCACGATGACTGCTACAGCACGAGGGCACGATGACTGCTACAGCACGAGGGCACGATGACTGCTACAACACGAGGGCACGATGACTGCTACAGCACGAGGGCACGATGACTGCTACAACACGAGGGCACGATGACTGCTACAGCACGAGGGCACGATGACTGCTACAGCACGAGGGCACGATGACTGCTACACCACGAGGGCACGATGACTGCTACAGCACGAGGGCACGATGACTGCTACAGCACGAGGGCACGATGACTGCTACAGCACGAGGGCACGATGACTGCTACAGCACGAGGGCACGATGACTGCTACAGCACGAGGGCACGATGACTGCTACAGCACGAGGGCACGATGACTGCTACAGCACGAGGGCACGATGACTGCTACAGCACGAGGGCACGATGACTGCTACAGCACGAGGGCACGATGACTGCTACAGCACGAGGGCACGATGACTGCTACAGCACGAGGGCACGATGACTGCTACAGCACGAGGGCACGATGACTGCTACAGCACGAGGGCACGATGACTGCTA